GACGATAAGACGCGGTATCGGGATCCATGCATTGAGGATGAAGTGTTCGAGAGGAAGGCTAACCCACATGTTCGTAACGCTACTTCCAATCCTGTAATGGATATCAAGGATGTGCGAAGAGAGATTCAAAGGTGAGTGGATGTCGCTCTTGACTTTCCGGTGTCTATCTAACTGAGCATCTACCACCTCTGTAGCTGCATCTCATGGGAACTTCCTGGTGAAGTTCCGTATGAAACGACACTCAAATTGATTGATCGTTTTACGAAAAAGTGGCCGAGTCCTTCCGAGGAATGTTTCAACGACGTATATAGGGCATCGTCAGCGTACATCCAGAAGTTGGTTGCGCAGCATTTTGGACAATTCAAACTTCTAGAGATGCACATTGGGTTTGTCTTTTCCATTCGCCTGTCCTTCCTACTTGGTCTGAAACCTCGCATCTATCTAGGGAACTTGTGCGCTCACAGATGGAGATCTACAAGAAGGAGGCACTTGTCACACTCCACAAAGCTGTCAAGCTGGATACTTCCCCCAAGTTTACTCAAGTACCGCATTACTTGATGGAGCGCTCCAAGTGGCTTGAGCAGTTTCATAAGGTGTATAACACTTCTGGTACCTATTTACTCCGATCAAGCCCTAGCGAGCCCAGACTAGCTGGAGTGGCTTACTATACAGTTCGTGAAACTGCAGAGGACGAAGAGGCACTGGTCGTGATGGCCAAGGTCCGAACATATTTTGAGGTGGCTTACAAGGTTCGTCTCTTGTCTACCCGTCCTTGCCTTTGTTGACTCTAATTGGTGTCTAGCGATTCATTGATAATGTCCCGCTTACTATTGAGCATGAATTGCACCAGAGTCTTTCGGATCGCTTATTTCAGAGTCTTATCAAGGATATGGGAGGACCGAATGCTCATGAGAGGGCTAGGGAGTTGTTTAGAGAGGATCCGGTCATCGCGTCAAGGAGGAGTGTATTACAAGAGAGAATTGCAAGGTTGGAGGAGATCAGGGGGAGGTTGTATTCTTTCAGATGAAAATATAAATGTACTATGTCTATGCCGTATTGTTATATGTAGTTGAATAGCAGGAGATGTCGCCCTACTTTGGTATTTTCGGAGACATCGGCCCGGTGACATCACGCCAGCGCTTTTTTGGTGATCGATGATTTCCTCGACCATCCACCCCATCCGTCATCAGGTTGACATATCGTCGTCTATCTGCGAGGATAAAGAACCCACTATCTTGAATGTCGCGGCAACCAGTCACTGTGGACCCTTAGCGTCATGGACTGGCGGTGGTAATGAAGGATCCTTCGTGGGTCGACTTATTGACTCATCCTTCTCGTTACTCACTTTACGTTTTGAGGTAGCAACAAGCGCCTTCGAACAATACCCTCAGATAATAACCACAAATTTTCTTCGGTTCAGAGCTTAGCAACAGCCGTTGTGAATGATTTTCTATACCACACGCAGACGCATCGGTCAGGCTATCTATTCATCGTGCATATCCGAGTTCCTTTTTTCCTGAATTCTTCCAAACATCATCTTATTCAATGACCCAGACATGGCTTGATGGTTCTGACGATATTTTCGTATTTCTAAAGACTCGCTTCCTCGCAGTTTGTAGTTATAGTCTTGCTTAACATATCATTTTTACAGGGAACTCATCTACCACGTACACAATGTCTTCGCCCTCATTACTGCACGATAGGTGCTTTGCTATGCTTCGTTGGGGATAGCTTTAGGAAGGCACAATAAGCGCCATGCATCGTGGTGGTCACACGGGATATAAGGACGATTAGCACGCCTCAGCTCCTTCCTTCCCAACTGCCACCAGATGTCGTTCCTTGCGAGGCGTACCACCCGTAGGGCCAATACCAACGCCCAGAATGGCACCTCAAACAATGTTCCTCCCCAAACAGATTCCCCGCCCTCTGAGCTAGACCAAGAGGGCACTGCCGTTCCCATCAACCAGACGGAATACGCTAGGAGATGTCGACAGGTCATGGAACTGTATCGCGCTCTTCAGGACCTAGGGTTCGTGGACGCCACCTCTTTCGGATGTATACTTATACAGCCATCTGTCACAGTGTCGATAGCCTGTTTCCAACGCTGCCAAAGATCATAGTTATCGGCGGTCAATCTAGTGAGCCATTCGTTGAATATCGATACGAAAGTCATTCTAATATCCGCTTTGAACAGCTGGAAAGAGCTCGCTAGTAGAAGCTGTCTCGGGAGTTCGCCTACGATTTTCTCTTACCTGTTTCATTCTCTCATTATTATCTAGATCAATGTACCGAGGGACAGCGGCACTTGTACCAGGTAAATGCACCTCAATCCTTCCCTGCATGATCTCACTCCTTTCCAAGATGTCCGATGGAATGCACGATGCTCAGTGCATCCCCCACGTGGTCGTGCAAGATATATCTCAACATCAAGTATGGGTCAGATGGTAGCGAACTCGCCATCCCGAACAGGATTCGGCTTGGGCCAGATATCACAGATAAGGATGTGGTCGAGCTATGGATCCGCCGAGCTCAAGCGGCGATCCTCTGCCAGCATCGTCCCAAGGAGGACTTCATGAGCATGGGCACGGTTGACCTTCGCAATCTTGCTACAACAGACTCACAGATGTTACCTTTCTCCAAGAATATCGTTCAAGTCGAGCTCAGAGATCCACTGTTGACGGATCTGTCGTTCGTTGATCTACCCGGTATGGCGGTCTCATCTTGGTCTTCGTGTCCTAACTGTTACTTTGGCAGGGATTATTCACAATGCGGAAGAAGAAACTATCACGCTTATCAATGACTTGGTTACATCCTATATCGAAGAATCGGACAATACGATTGTCCTCATCACCATTCCGATGAGCGGTGGGTTTTTTTTTCTTCTGACACTACGTATGCCCTTCTCATGTCTCTACAAGACGATATCGAGAATCAAGCCGCCGTCAAACTCGCCAAGTCCCGGGATCCCGATGGTGATCGCACAATCGGTCTGAATCTTCCTTTCTCCTACTTTTATGATTAACCATAATCGTTTCATACAGGAGTGTTGACCAAGCCGGACATGCTGACAGTAGGCGCCTCTGGCGCGCGCCAAAAGTGGAGAGATATCATTCTCGGGCAAGAAGAGAAGCACAAGCTCAAACATGGTTACTATTGTGTTCGTCTCCCGGATGATGATGAACGCAGGCGCAAGATTTCGCGAAACGAATCACAAGCATTAGCTAAACTCTATTTCGAGAATAATTCCCCCTGGAAAGAGTTCGTCGACCGCAGTCGTTTTGGTATACCGTCACTTGTGCATGATATCAGCCGGCTTTTAGTCAGGCTTATTGAGAACTAGTACGTGTTCTCTTATTTGCGTGTACTTGGGCTCATTCTCTTCTCTTTCAAAGTATCCCAACCTTGAAGAAAAGCGTTGACGATATCCTCGCAAGCGATAGAGCGGAGTTGAGCGCCCTCCCCCCACTACCGCTTACTGGCGAGGCTTGGGCCCAAATTACCCTTCTTATCCATAAGTTCTGCGTCGACGTTCAAGCCGCCATCGAGGGGAAGGAAGAGCACAAAGGTCTTGTACAGCGTAATCGCGCTAGATACACGCAATTCAAACGCGATATCCTCGGGACGTGCCCCAATTTTCGACCATTCGAAAATAAGACCCAGTATCGGGATCCCTGTATCCGGGATGAGGAGTTCGAAGGGAAGGACAACCCGTACGCTTACATGGCGACGTCTGAATATGTCATGGACATCAAGGATGTGAGAGGGGAAATTGAGAAGTGAGTGTGCTTATTGTTACACGTTCCATCTTACTGAGGTTGTCGTGTAGCTGCACTTCGTGGGAGCTCCCTGGTGAAGTCCCGTTGGAAACGACACGTAAACTCATTGAACGTTTTACAAAGGAGTGGTCTAATCCTTCAATGGAGTGCTTCGAGGCTGTGTATGACACCTCGTCGGCGTACATTCAGACGTTGGTTACGCAGCGGTTCGGACAGTTCAAGCCCTTAGAGACGCATGTCAGGTTCGTTGTTTGTATCTTCCGTCCCTTACTCTGAGGCTTTATGTTCTGCCCAGCGCACTTGTGCGCGCTCAGATGGAGATGTGCAAGAGCGAGACCCTCCTTATACTCGGCAAGGCTATAAATTTGGAGACATCTCCCATCTTTACTCAAGTACCTCAATACTCGATGGAACGCTCAAAGTGGTTTAGGAGGTTGTATAAGGCCTATAGAGATCCTCATAGCTATGGCCATTCCGTCTCAATGCCTGCTGCAGTTCGCGAGGCAACAGAGGACGAAGAAGCACTCCTCGTGATGGCTAAAGTCCGAGCATACTTTGAGATAGCGTACAAGGTCTGCCGTGCTATTCTCCACACGCTCCTTCCTTTGCTGATTCTAGCTGGTATATAGCGGTTTATTGACAACGTTCCGCTCACCATCGAGCATGAGCTTCATCAGTCCCTGCTACATCGCTTATCTGAGAGTCTTATTCAGGACATGGGAAGACCAGATGGCAGTCAGCGGGCTAGGGAAATGCTTCGAGAGGATCCAGCGATCACGTCTAAGAGGAAAATCTTGACAGAAAGAATTGCGAGGTTGGAGGAAATAAAGAACAAGCTGTCCGCGTTTAGATGATCTTACATATGCGCTTCAAGTCTGTGTACAGGACAATTCCATCTTTTTGATTAAGTACTTGAAGATATTACTTGTCATCCTGTTTTCCTGACCTGCGGGACTACAGCATGGAGTTGTTGCTCAGGGCTTCATCAGGAAGTCTACTGATCATACATCCACTCTTCCGAACTTTACAGCACTCATTTCTATCACATTTGTTTAATTTTAGCACAGTTTAGGTGAAAAAAGAGCCGACAGATGCAAAGATATGCTCCATCCATGGTTGAACTGATCATGATGGATACAACGAAAATTTGGTAGTGGTGAAGAGTCTATGCGGTATGTGTATGACAAAATAGAGACATAAATAATAAACAGACTTCTCCGATAAGCTCTTGTGGCGTAGTGGTAGCGCGTCGCACTTGTACCGAAATTGCATGCGAAGGTCACTCGTTCAATCCGGGTCGGGAGCATTGCTTTTAATGAATATTTTTCTTAAAGAACAATAGGGTTTCTAAGATGTATGAAGATGGTAATTTGTAGGAAATCTGCCATTTTCTCCTTTCTCCTCGCAAACACCCCGCGGGAACTTCAGACAAACTGGACATTGGGGAATTATCATTTCATATGGGTGATTTCTATTAAGAGGACGGCAGGAAAGGAAGCTGGAACGTAGTATATCTTCGCTGCGAGGGCTTTATATCTTTAGGCCTATGCCAGGGAGGTCTTTAGCGTTGATTAGAACATGTATCGCAAAAAACCTTACTCGTGTTCTCGCTGCCAACACGAAAGCAAACAACATTGCGACGAGCGTTGCCATACATCCAGTAATGATGACGGCCACCGTACGCGCAACGGGGAACTTCCCTTCCGTCAAAGCTACTTGAACGGAGAAATACCTCGACACCCCAACGGCAAGTATCCCTAGAGCTAAAAGAACCGTCGTGGCTCCAAGGGGTTTAGCGTATCCCTGAGTGGTAGCGCTAGTAGGCGAAAACGAGGCGCTCTGCATTGCGATGGAGAATAGTTGAACGAGAGCGACGCCGGTAGAGGCGAGGACAAGAGAGGTTCTCACATACGCAAGGAATGTCCTCTCAGAGGCAAGGTGATCCCTGGCGACGGAGCCGTTGTTTTCCAGTGTCAAGCTGACATGCATCGTCAAGTATTACGTCCTCCTCCACCGCTCCCTGGGCGCTTTATAGCGTTGTCTATTCCAAATCATGTACCTTATATATCCTGTCGTGGGATAGCGAGTTTAAAGTCGACCCGCAATAGGTACCGCGATTGAGGAGGTGGCGTGTCGACAAGCCTTACGAATGATGCGCCGAGTCCATGTACTCCCACACTTCGAAGTTGTGTAGGAGACCTTTAGCTTAGTTGTTCAAAAATACAGCCAATATATATGCTCACATAGGCAGATTCATAGGCTTGAAGGCAGGCCTGCAGCGTACTCACGTTCATTATAGATTCTGTCCGGACCGAAGGCCATGTGCCATTGTCTCCGGGTATATTTGTGACTAAAAACACGGAACTGTGCGACTATAAGCTCTAGTGAACCTTTCAATCATCGCCATCGCTCGGCCGTGAGTTTCCTGCGTATTCGCAAGGTCCTCAGTATATGGAATCGCTTAGATCGTCATATCAAGTCCGTCCTATCGTACCGTCCTGTATCGATGTGATGAGCTAACTTCTAGCTGTACATGCTACACCTTACTCACGCAACATATCACTTTAATGAAATGTGAGAATCCGGGGTTTTACTAGGAAAATCTCAGTCAGCTGCTCTACAATGTGCATTCCACGTCGATATTGAAGCCGATCTCTTCGTAAGTTGGATATAAGTATGGCCCGGATTGTCTTTGCTCTGATACGGGTTAACTGAGCTGATTGGTACAGATAAGAGAATTTGAATGAACAGAGTTACGTACTTTCTGCAGTAAATAATTTCCTCTCCCTGTGCTAATGGAATTCGGAGACTACGGAAGATGCTTACGGAAATGGGCTTGCCGCTTCGGTAGTACGCTACAGGGAGCGTTGCCAGGACCTTTACATAAAAGGGTTTGGTTGCGACTGTGTCATCGGGTGCCAGCAGAATAGCAGAGTGACTAGCATAAGGCTCTTTAAGTGTGCGAATGAAGTGGTGACGAGTCCTTAGTGGCGTCTCGACTTTCCAAGGGTTGTCCGTACCACGTGATCGAGCCGAACTTTGCCGCAACCATCATCCTAGACTCTTTTTCTGATAAGTATCCGCTGTACAGGTTGCCTATGTTACTAATTTATGCGTCTTCCTACTATTAGCCTCTGGGAAAATAAGTATCTCTAGATATTCTATGCGCGCTCCAGAGCCTGGGCGGCTCCGAACATCGGCCACTTTTGTTTCATTCACAATGAACATGGCTTATTTATCCTGTGCTGCTTTGTTCTTCGACCCCAGTGCCACCCGCAGCCTATAAACCACAGATTTGAAACTTTTGTCTTTGGCCATCTTCGATTTTGTCACTATGACTAGTGGCACAAAAAACGAAGCACTATAAAATGCCCACAGCCGTTTTACAATCCTCCCCTCTCAAAACTTTTGGGGAAAATTCTGACTCTCTTAACTATGGCCTACCCTACCTTTCTGGCATCTAACTCACACCTGAGCCTCGCTCCATATCCTAACCACAACGACTATCAAGGCTTTCCCAGATACGCCGAGGGAACGGATCACGGTACTTGCAATGCTCGTTGCTGAACTTGAAAAGGGAAATAACCATTTGCCACTAGGTCCCGATGGAAGCGGATACTCTTTGGGAGTCCCGATTTATGAGCATAGACTTGGTCAGCCACACGTATTTGCCTTTGCGAAACATATTTAGAATTTTACAGTCAACGCTAATCCGTACCGTCCACTGTATGAAACGCGAGTGACAGATCCGCACCAAGACACGCTCGATCTAATAGAACGCCACAAGGCAAAGGTCTTTGCCAGTATTGCAAGTCTCACGCACGCCGTGCATCGAGTGAGTTTGCATCACGTATTCCGACAGAGCAACTTTTGAATCCAAAATGCAGCAAACCAATTATTACCGGTTCTCTGGTGAAGGTATTCCCTTTGAGATAATACCATTTTCGAATGGCTCGATGCCCAATAAACTGCCGGTACGGAATTGAATTGGTCTGGTTGCATAACCTTTTTTACCTGTTCTATTCTTCTCAGCATCTGCTTCCGGCTCTGACTAGCGTACATGTCGTAAACGCTCTCACCCCTGAGCAACTCGTTCGATATTGCTCTGGTTATAGGATAGTTCACGACCCCGAAAACATAGAGCTGATGATTGTCGACTTGAAGGCATATATAGGCTGCGCCCCTTGAGGCTGTATGATGGACCAGAATCATTTGATCGACACCCTTATCCGAATAATCCATGTCAAAGACTCGCTACTCCTCATGCTACATGTTCTCCGCTGTATTTTACTTTCAACGCACATTGTACTTTACCAGACTTTACCTTCACGGATCTTTATGGGATAAATATCATGTATTAACACCTACTTCGCGACAAATCCCGGTAGCCACCTCTCCACGTAAACTAGAAATGAATTTTGCACTGCAACAACGGTATCGTCAGGTGCGGCAAGTGCGACCACCAAATCAGTGCAATGGAACCCGTTCGAGAGACCGATAGGTTGATCGTCGGTGCTCACGGCCGTACTATTCACAGCGGATACTGTGCCCTCTCTCCACGGATCGCCTGGGTGATGTCAGCAAAATGATACACATTGTGGAGTCTACGATACCCACGTTTTCCATTCGCAAAGAACAGCCTTGTATTCTTGACGCCCCACCCACCATACAAGGCATTGATGCGTTCAGCGTCGGGAAGTGGAGCTGTAGGGAACGCTTCGGGAAAAGTGGTTACGCATTCTTGCTGGACAATGAGTCCAGATTCCTGTCAGCGAGCCCCGGTGTGAAACTAGCAAACTGAGACTAACCAGGTCATCTTGCCACTTGTTAAGTCTTGAAACGATACCTCCCTGTCCGATGGGTGGTCCGTCCTGCAACGGTTCGTCGGTTTTGTATCGTGAAGTCCTGTGAAGACCAACCTACCAAAGACTCTTCAATTTCATTACATCTACCAGCAGAATGTCAGCATGAGGGATGATTCGAATACTGTCGTGAAAATAACGCACTCCAACCAGAACCATGATCGGTATGTATCACCGACAGGGTAGTCGGCTCTAGCCTCGAGCTCTGGAGGAATGACTTGTTTGTCAGGCATAGCTGCAGGCATCGGTGGCCGGCGTAAGGTACTAGAGCACAGTCTGAAAGACGATCTCAGAGATCAACTCAAGAAACATACACCGTAAAGTCATCTTACCCATCATCATCAATACAATCTAAATAACAGTCATCAGCAAGTAGACTAGGGAGGGATTAATTATCTCCATGACTCGCCTGCATCAGCCGCATAGCTTACGGAGAACCATCTAGCCCAAGCCGAAAGCGCGTTGTCCACTCCCCATCCATTCTCAGACGCCAGCATTCCATTCTTCACCTCGAGCGCATCACAGAATTGGTAGAAGGCTGCCCCAGGGCCCGTGTTGGGCTGTAGATCCTGCCATGTCCACAGGTCCCATCTTACTGAAGGCGCCATCAGAGTCAGAAAGCGGGATAGACACAAGGGAATACCCACGAGCTTGTGCCACCTCCAAGTTAGACGAAAACCCGAACATCCTTTGGATCTTCCGTTGGGTCTGGGTATCACTGCCAGTGAAGACTCCGTCGACGTATGCGATGACAGCTTCAACATCAGCGGAACAATTCTTCGGCATGTTCTCTCGAATGGGTTCGTAGTACTGCCAGAAATCTCTGCGAACACGTGTCAGCTCGTGGAAAATAGAAAGGTAAAGGTCTACCGACAGCTGAACTTGGACGACTGCTGATGACGCATAGCCAATCCAAAAGATGTCGGGGTGTCTATGAACGGACTTGTCAGTGCTGAAAGACATCGAGCAAGTGTGTAGAACTGACGCGGCCATTGTCCAGCTGACCAAACCACCTAGACATGATACATTAGGCTCATTATCGTCATAAAGCACAACACTGACCTGGGTAACTTCCACCCACCAAGATCCACGGCGCCTTATCTGGACCCACGGCATCGCCATTGTCTTGAGGAAGAACAACATTTTGGGCAAAGTAAACATGGTCTTCGATGGTTTGGGCCACCGTTTGATACTTGAGACTGTCCACGTTCAAGTTCGGGTAGGGATTGCTCTCGCCAAAATAACGATGTTCGAGGACTATAGCTGCACCTCCGAATTGTTGCGCAACGACACCATTGATTGTGCGATTTGTCACGTAGCCGTAGTAACCTGATATGGTATGAGATTAATGACTTGGGGAAGTACAGATACTTACCGCTGGCGTCGACTTCACCAGCGTTCATGAAAATTATCGGACCTCCTAGAATTATGATAGATGTCAGTG